TAGATATAATGTAAGCAGTTGAGATTTCTACTTTTCAGAACAGTTATAATCTACTATCTGATGATAGTGATTAGATTCTACTCTACTCTCTTTTAGTATGAATATACAACAAAAACAATAAAAAAAGTTTAAAAACTCTTCAAAAATCACATTTATTCAAAATAATGTGAATAGAAACTCAAATTGTATTTATTCTTATCTTCAAATTACATTTAAATAAAAAGTTGATTTTATACTGCTTCAGAAGCTGAATTTTGATACTGAGTAAAAATATGTCATTTCTCATTCAAGCTACTACTGCTTCTTATCTCAAAAGTCTGAGATAAAGTCAAGAGTAGTGATCTATGAAAGAAAGAGATTAAGATATTAATTTAATCTAAGATTTAATATCATATCTGACCCTGATATTCTGATGAGTGATATTATAGATAAAGAAAATGAGTTTGATACTATACAGCTTATAAATATCTATAATAAAAAGTCATTGAAGAAATATAACAATATCTGAATAATTGATAGAGAATTTCTAAACATAACTTCATCAAGAAACTTTATAATTATAGAAGACTTCAATGCACATTATCTCTGATAAAACTCAGAATGCAAGAGAGTAGTGAGAGCTGATAATCTGATTGAATGAATTTTTAAGTATTCAATAGATTTGATTAATAAGTCTGATCAACAAACATTCTTTAGAAAAGGCATGAAACAGAAGTCTATTATAGATCTAATCTTTATATTACAAAATCTAATGAAAAGAAGACTTGTAAACTGATTTATTGATTCAAATGAGACATTAGAATCAGATCATGAGATTATTCAATTTGATATTAAACTGAGTGAAAAATAAATGAGTGAAAATTCTCTTCTCTCTAATCAGTATAACTTTGAAAAAGCTGATTGAAAAGTAGTTGAAGAAAGTATAAAACTGTTAAAATCTGAAAGACAGAATGAGCTATATTGAAATTCTGATCAAGATATCTCAAATGAAATGCTTAAGAATAGAGTAAAGCTTATTACATCTATTATTCTAATAAGTGTTAGAGATAATATTTCAAAGAGAAAATCTTCTGAGTATTCAAAACCTTGATGAAATGAGAATATCTCATCTAAAAGAAAAGAATTAGCTACTGCTAGAAGAGATTGAAAGAATAATATAATATCTGATGAAAAGTTCAAAGCTGTCAGAAATGAATATTTTTCAGATATTAAAAGAGCTAAAACAGACTGCTGAAATAATTTTCTTAAAGAAGTATAAGAAAAGAAAGTTTTTAAAGCTTTTAACTATACTAAAATAAGAAGTGTAGCAAAACTTCCAGCCTTAGAATATGAGTTTCAGAATGAATCATATACAGCAAACTCTTTTGAGAAAAAATGTCAAGCTTTTATAAGAATTCTCTTTCAGAACTCATCAGATTCAGATTCAGATTCAGAGAAAGAGAATATATCACTTCTCAACTACATTAATGAAAATGACTGAGAATGACCTGATCTTACACAAGATGAATTAGAGTCAGCTATCTTCTCAAGTTCTGTTAAAACTGCTGCAGATTCTGATTCAATTAATCACTTAATTATTCAGAATACATATTCCTACTTAAAGAATGAATATTTTAAGCTCTTTTTTAATCTCTTGAAAAATAGATATTATTCTGAATACTGAAGAGAAGTCACTGAAATGATTCTTATAAAACCTAATAGAAAAACTTCAATTTCTAAGTTATATAGAGTAATATCTCTATTGAACTGCCTAGAAAAGGTTTTAGAAAAGATAATAGCTACTTCACTATCTTTTATAAGCTCTATAGATGATTCTCTTTTATTCAGTGAATAAATGAGAGATAGAAAACAGTGTTCTGCAATTAACACTGTTCTCTCAGTTGTTCATGATATTCAAATAGCAAAGCATGAGAGTCTGGTCTCAACTACAGTTTTTATTAATATAAAAAAAGCATTTGATTATGTTTCAAAGTCAAAGTTAATTCAGATATTAAAGATATTAAAACTGTCACTTTCTCTAATAAAATGAGTTAACTATTTTATATCTAAAAGAAGTATACAACTCTTCTTTAATGAAATGAAATAAGATAAGACTGAGATAAAAATAGAAGTATTACAGAAATCTTTAATCTCACTTATTTTATTTATAATATACACTGTATATCTATTTAAAAATAGAAATATGAGAATAGTGTGATCTCTGAGTTATATGAATGATATTGATCTAGTCTACAGCTTAAAAACTATCAAAGAGAATTTGAAAGTAATTGAAGAAGCTGTAAAGAAAATCTTTGTTAGAGCAGATATCAATCAAATTCAATTTAATATGAATAAAACTAAGTTAATTCACTTCTTTTCAAGATTCAATGAGAAAAGAACTATCTCTAACTCTTTTAAATAGAGAGATTAAACCCAGTGTAAATATCAAATGATTAGAAGTATGATTAAACTTCAAGTTGAATTTTAAATATTATATTTAACAAAGAACTGTCAAGGCAGAAAGACTATTAAACAATATAATCAGACTATCAAATACAGAGAGAGGTCTATTCTTTCAGGCTATGAGACAGTTATATATAGCCTGTATTACATCAGTAGCTGATTATAGAGTTTAAGTTTAATAAAATAATCAAGAGAATTTCACTGAACTCTTTCAAAGTCTGTAAAACAGAGTCTTGAGAAGAATTCTGAAAGTATTCAAATCATCTTCTATTAAAGTAATGAAAATTGAAGCTTCAATTTCTTCTTCTGCTATTAGATTTATAAAGACCTGTATAAACTATGCTCTGAGAGTTATAAAGATGAGCTTAAATTATATAATCAGAGAAAGAGTCTCTTCTTCATTTTCATTAATTAACTCTGAAAATGAACTGAATTAGAATAGATTTCTTGATTGAAATGAAAATAATTCTTCAAAGAAAATGTCTTCTCAACTGTACAGACTATACTCTCTGATTAAAAATTAATTTTCTTCTTTAAATATTGAAAAAGTTGATCATGAGAAGTTATCTCTCTGAAGAGAAAAGCTTGAATCTCTTATAGACTTATAAATAAGTGAACTATTAAAAGAGAAAGAATATGAACAGTATTTGAAGAGAATTTCTACAATCAATATAAAAGACTCTATTCTGATTTATTCAGATAACTTAAAAAATGAGAACTTGAATAGATTAGATACAGGCATTGCTTATACTGAAGATAATATCAATTTTATCTCAGATTTCTGAAATCTAAACTCTGAATCTGAAGTCTTTGATGCTGAACTATTTATAATAGTGAAAGCTTTCAAACTCATTGAAATAAAATCTTATAAAAGAGGAAATTGTTTAAAAGAGATATGAATATTCTCTGATAGTCAAGCTGCTTTAAAAAGACTTAGAAATAGTCAGATTCATAATGATCAAATAAATCTTAAACTGATCTTAAACTCTATTTTGAAAATTCAAAAGAGAAGAATATTAAAGCTGATAATTTATCTACACTGAGTTTCTGCTTATATGAATATTCATGATAATGAATTGACTGATTCAGCTGTAAAAAAGAATACAGAATTAAGCAGATCTATTTAAAAAATTATGTTCTGATATTTTATAAAGAGAAAAATAAAAGAATCTTGTTTAGATAAGTGAAATGAAAGCTGGTAGAAATAAAAGAAGAGTATACATTATTCAAGATTTGAAATAAAACTCAAGTGAAAATCTTGTTCAATTAAATGTAAAAAGAAAATATTCTCATCTATAATACAGCTGAAACTAGAATATGACTATTTCAAATCTTATATATAAAGATTTGATGATAGATTTGACTCAATAGAATGCTTATTCTACAATACAAATGAGAATTCTGAGTATATTGTAATACACTGTGTATTATATAATAGTCTCAGAGTTAGATTGAAAGAGAAGTATAATCTAAATTAATTAAATATAAGATTCTTATTCTCAACTGAGACAGGAATTAAATATTTAATAGACTTTCTATCAGAAACTCAAGCAGTTATAAGAAAATGACTAAATTCAGAATTATCTGAATATGAAGAGGAGAAAATCAATCAGATATAGTCTGTTAAAACAGCTATATACTATCTTTTAATAATTTGTTTTATTACAGTCTTTCTTTATTTTATCTTTTTCTTTCAATTTCTTTCTATTTATCTATTTAATATGTCTATCTTTAAGACTGTATTCTCTTTTTCTTTGTCATAATATTATCAAATGATTTCAAAGTATGAGATGATGTTAAAATACTGTAATTTATAAACAGTTTTTGTATTCTGAGCTGAAATTTTCTGATTTTATATATCTGAAATTGATGAATGTATAATAGTTAACTTTACAGATATAGAAAAAACCCTGAGAACTAAAAGTTCTCAGATAGATATTATAGTCTCTGACTGTATATATCTATAATTGAATAATAATAATAATAATAATAATAATTTGTCATGATATTTTCAAATAATTTCAAAGTATTAGAAGATGTTAAAATACTGTAATTTATAAATAGTTTTTGTATTCTGAGCTGGAATTTTCTGATTTTATATATATGAAATTGATAAATGTATAATAGTTGACTCTATAGATATAGGAAAAACTCTGAGATTTAAAGATTCTCAGGTAGATATTATAGTCTCTGACTGCATACATCTATAATTGAAGAATAATAATAATAATAATGAATGAGTGAATTGAAAGATTGAAAGTCAATTACCAACTGATTATTACTGTATTGTGCGAGGTCAGGGTCATGATTATGTAATGAGGTCAAGTGGCGCACTTAGCGAGGTCAAGTTTTCTGTATACACCCCTTGAGCCCTACCAAGCAAATCTCCATCGCTAATCCTTGCAATGATGTCATCATCGACCCTTCAGTACGGATTACCGCCTCTACCAGGTCTTAGCCCTATCGGTACCGTATTATGCATATAAATTTCAAGCCCGTACCATACAATACGGCCAATGTGGCAGGAAGTTGGCTCTGCCCGACGAAACAAGGTAATGCATCAACCGTACCAACCCGTCACGGAATTTTTCCGACACTCCAGACTCAGAGAACTTACCTCGCCCCCTCTCAAAAAACGCCTTATCATTCTTCAACCCGCCGTCCCAATATACACACTCATCGCTTATCCAGTCCAGTCACTCTTTTCGCATCCGAGCTATATTTTCCTTTGTCTGCTTTCCTTTTTGCTTTCCTCACCCCAAGTCCCCCTCCTCCCTGCGCCCGAGCTCCATTTTGAGCTCTAGCGCGAGCAAGCAATCGTCGAACAAGGACAGGGAGGATCAGCGAAGCTATACCCGTTGCTTTAGTCGAGTGAAACGCAATTACAATATATACGGTTCTACCCGCTGCCCGCGAAAGCAATGACAGAGCCTGAGGATGGAACTCGAAGCGCCGCACAATACTTTGGAGGGTGCGAACGCACTCTGGGATGGTGAGTTTCGGCGCAAAGCTGTTCATTTATCCTCCCTCCTCTCTTGGCTTTTTGCCCGCATGTGAGCGCGGCGTTGGGGCCGCGAACGGACATTATCTACACTGGCATAAGCGGTTGGGGTTTTGCTTGACCCTCGATATATATCTGCTTTGTTGTCTTCCTTTGTTCCGAGCTTGAGTTGCCGGGGGGGGGGGTGAGTGGATGGGGCTGCGGCTCATATACTTAAAATCTAGTTGAAGCTCTATTGTTTAGTCCGAGCAAAACTAACTTGTCCTATTCTCTTCTTTTGCGTTTTAGAATTCGATGCCATTTTCCATATGCCATGTGACACTCACGCCGCCATCGATAATGTGCTCCGGGCTTATTTGGAATTAACGACGAAGTACAAAGGTGTGTTTTGCGGTTTCTTCGTATTATATTCCTCGCAGGAGGGAAGGTTTCTTGTACACTTTAAGAGGAAAGTAGCGAAAGGTCTATTATACTTTCTGCAATATGGATGGTCGATGTGCGGCATATCGACAGAGGCTGATGTGTGTTTGGTCTTGAGCAGACACTCTCGTTTCTTCTGAAAATGAAATCTCCCACTGCTTAGAGAGGTTGCTTGCCTCGGAGCTTTTCGTCGCAAATGCGGATTATATACGGAGGCAGATCATATACTCCTTGCTACAGGTACGAACTGGCTTCTCTTCTGTCGTTTTCCTTTTTGACCGGCTGGCATGGTTGTTTCTGACGGATCTTGTCATTTTTCCCTTTCTTTTCAGGACGATGCCCCAGACATTCTCTACGTGACAGTCTCGTTCCTCCTCTTTGATGGGCGACAAAATGAGCACACGTTTGAGATGATGAATAAAGAGGGGGCATTTGTCCGCCTACTAGAGCTTATTCAGTCTCAGGAGCGGTTGGATGGCGACGGTGCAGCTGGACTCCACCGTTTATTAATGAACTTAATGTATGAAATGTGTAGGATTCAAAGGATTAAAATTGGCGATTTAGGTGAGTGAGCTCTTTTTGTATGGCTTCTGGATGATAGGGAGTCGGAGATATGCCCAGATCCACAATCTCCGTCTCTGGACATCACCCTTCTCTCCAATCGAGCCCCCGTGGATAATCGTGCGGTTCGGCTTATTTTTGAAACAGTCCTCGTGGATGATGATTTTGTGAAGCATTTATTTGAAATTATCGAAGAGCTTTCAGGTGACATCGACGATCCGTACCATTATCCTGTGATTAGAGTTCTGGTAAGATCTCTTTCCCCCAGTTTCATTTGAGTTAAGCTTGTTCGTGTTTTCTAAAGTATACTCCCTATTTGTAGTTGGTTCTCAATGAGCAATTCATGGTCTCAGCTCATGACCCGTTACCCGAACGATCCTCATCAGCCCCTCTCACCAATAAGGTCATCAAGGTCCTTTCGATGTTCGGTTCTACTTTTAAAACATTCGGAGAAAACATAATTCTTCTCCTTAATCGCGAAAGTACGTTAAATGAGAACTCATTGTTTCGGTCGCTCTTCCGTCTAACGACGACCCCTTAGCTGAAACTTCTCTCCAACTACTTACATTAAAATTGCTTTACCTTCTCTTTACGACACCGCCGACTTATGAGTATTTTTACACTAATGACCTTCGAGTGCTCGTTGATATTTTAATTCGTAACCTCTTGGATCTTCCAGAAGAAGCTGCCGCCCTTCGCCATACATACTTACGCGTTCTGTATCCATTATTGGCTCATACCCAACTCAGGTACCCACCTCACTATAAGCGAGAGGAGCTGAGAAAACTCCTGGGAATTCTTGTCAGAGGCGAATTTTCTTTTGATTCAGAGGAATGTGAAAGGATCCTTCATTTCGATGACGTTGATGAAACGACGAAACGATTGGTATTGCGATGTGGGCAAGTAGACTGGCTTGCCGAGCATGAGGTCCCAGAGCAGAAACCAAAACCAGAAAGTATTGCGGAAGCCTCTATGGGTAAATATATAGAAGAAACAGGTTCGCCCACCACTACTTCGTCCACCTCGCCAGAGCCAAGTTCTCCGCATAGGCTTTCCAGGTGCCGTTCCTCCCGAGTAAAATCATCGCCGATAACTCTAAAACCGGCCAAGGAACTTGGTATGAACCTCGAAATAGCTCGTTCCTCAGAAGCCAGCGTTGTCGAGGTTGCTGCCCACAAAGAGAAGCCTGGTGTCATGGTCCCAAGTCGCAATGCCGCTCCGAAGGCTCCACCAGCACCTCCACCCCCGAAACAGAAGCCACAGCCACCCAAGGCAAGACGTTGGCGCGGACGTCGTGAGCAGCAGGAAGGAGACGAGTCTTCAGGACAAAAGACAGCCGATGGAGCGCAACTTGCTGCGCTTGGGCGAAATTCCCCAGATAGTCGCAAGAGTTCCGGCAGTTCCGGCTCCGCACCCCCGCCGACCACACCAACCGATTCAGTACGTACATCGGGCGACATGTCATCAACCCGAACAGCCGCAGACGAGCTTCTAGTTCCGACAATAGTCGTCCCCAAAGCGCGGACCCCAAATCCCCCCACGACCTCCCATGCCCCAGCTCTCCCGCCACCACGCAGATCCTCGCACTCCGTCCCTCCAAAATGCCACGGCAGCCCGCACTCCATACCTCACCGCCATCGCCAACCACCTCCACCACCGCTTCATCACAATCCATACAACAGTGAAAAGCTGAATCCAGCTTTCCAGTCACCTTGCTCAACCCATTTGCCACCCTCCCCGGTAAGCCCGGCGACATCTCCTTCGAATGGCCACATCACGCCGTCCCAAAAGCCAGAACCACCAAAGACCCGACGATGGCGAGGCAAAAGCTCCCAGCAGATAGTCGATGGGAAACCTCCGGGCGATGCAGCTCCTACTACCGGGAACACAATCGCACATAACAATGATAATATTGACTCTACTGAGAAATGCAACGGGCTGAGGAGCGACCATGAGCGGCGAGCGGTGGCGGCTTCCTTGCTGGAAACGTCAGCTACGTGTGCGCATGATACCACTGGCGGCGCGGAATCTGTTAATAGAATAGAGGATGGAGTGGGCAGGCTGAAGGTTGGGCAAGGTGGTTAACTAAACATGGTGTTCCTCGTTCTGGCTTTCTTTTATTCTTTTTCTTGAGAAAAACGCGTTGGATGGAGGTCCGATTTGGATGTAAAATATTTGATCTTCTTATCAGGGTGATTCCCATCTACTGTCTGCCGCGGCGTTTTTTGATTTATCTCTGCATCTCTTGATTCTATTGGGGTAAACGGGGAGGCTTTACCTTTTTTTTTTCCTTTCTTTATTTTTTATTTTTTTTATTTTTTTTTTCTTTTTGGCGCGTGTGGAAGAGTTCTTGATCATTAGTATTGCTGTTACTATTATCCTCGTACTCCCTATGGTTTTACTACACTGAGCTCTCTTTTGTAGTCAGAATTGCTGTGCACAGATTCCATAGCGGTTAACATAGGGATGCGAAAATTCAGATATTTTTTCCTTTTTCCTTTTCCAGCTGACAACTATGTTGTCCTTTCTAGTCGGACAAACCAAGGAGAAAACAGAGGACAGAGGGAGGACATTGAGGGCGGAAAGATGCGGTCAACCTTAACTTCTCTCTCCCACAGCACAGCCCTCCAAATACATTATCTAATTCGGTCAACGACGTCGTCCATGTCCAACAAAATAGCCGTTCATCTATCCCTTTTCACCCGCCCCTTCTCTTCGCCATAATCTTCCCCTTTATTGGCGGCACGACAACCTCCAAAATCCACGGGCTCTCAGGGCGCACCGCAACCTCCCCCTTCCCATCAGCTCCTGGTACCGGCAAAAGGCCTACATCATAGTTCATGAGCAAGGTCACCAAGAGCATTTTGATCTCAGCCTCTGCGATGAAGCGGCCGGGACATGCGTGGCGGCCATGGCCAAAAACGAGGTTGTTGGCCGATGTCACAGTGAAAGTTTCTATTGCTCCCGCTGCTGCTGCGGTCGTTGTACGTGTGTCGTTAGCCGCGATAATCCTGTCACTAGCATGCTGGTCACTGCCGCGCCCCCCAACGACTTTAGCATGTCTTTCTCTCCGCTCTGCAAAGCGCCAGGGGTTAAATTTCATGGGATCATCGAAGACGTCTGGGTCGAAGTAAGCACCGCGGGAGAGGATGGAGACCATGGCTCCCTTGGGGAGGGGGGCGCTGGTCGTCGTGGGTTCATTACTATCAGCTTCACCCTCAATGACGGGGGAATGGACATTGTCAGCAACCACAGAGCGCGCGACGGCACGATGGACGAAACTGTGCACTCTTGTCGTTTCGCGCATTACGCTGTCCATCAACACTAGTTTGGCGACGGAAGCCTTTGTCCAGCCATATTTTTTCTTGTTGTTTTGCACCGGTTGGGTGGTGGAGGGCGGGATGGTATAGCATTCGCTTGGAAGCACTGATCCGATCTCCTCCCGGAGTAAAGCTATGGTGTTAAATTCCTTGTCGGATGCGATGATGTTGAAGATCATATTTGTCACAGCCGCAGAGGATTGATGGAAAGAGCCTAGGTTATTGAGGCAGATACGGTAGGCAAGGCTATGAAGGTTGTGAAACTCCTCCCTAGAGCGCTCATTTTGAGCGAAACAGAGCATTAGCTGGAGCAAGTCATCAGGTGTATCTTTACAGCTGGTGATATCGTGAAGATGTTCATTTTTGCCCTTTGAAGGCTGCTGATGCGTCAAAAGGCGTTCCAAGCGCTGCTTTATCAATGGCTTCAAAATTCTTTCTAGTTTCCAGGTTTTAAAACGGAGCGGGAGGTACAGTATCGGGCACAGAATAGGGCGGAGCGGTACCGGTACAAAGGGGACCAAGCCGGCGTTGGTGACGAAGGTATCCACGAAGCTAGAGGAGGCGCGAATATATTCTTCATCCCTACCTATGCTTTCCTGTCAATATATAGCTCCTTTAAACGATAAATAGATATGATCGCAAGCAAAAATCCTCGTTAAAAAATACTCCAATGAAAAGTGTAGACACTTACAAAGCGGCTCCCCAACCGTAAACTGGCTCGAGATCTGCGCAATCACCAGCTTCATTGTATCCCAAAGCGGAATCTCTGCCCATTCACCCTTGTTCGGAATCCGCCTCTCAACCGCATTTTGCACTTCCTTACCCAAGGGTGGCAGATACCTGTCAAGGTTGCGATTCACATCTCGATTGAGAATCGGAGTCAGCCATGCATCCGTGACATACTTGTGGTGGTCGGCTGCCCAGTCGATCTGATCCAACTCGCGGAATGCCTCTCGCATGCTAAGGACGTTGTCCGATTGTGTTACTAGCCACCGCAAGGTGCTCTTTGGTAGGAGGATTTCAGACCGCAATCCGAGGCCGGGAACGAGGCATGGCTGGCCCTTTTTCAGGTACTGTTAATGCGTGTTGTTAGTTGACATAGAAGAAAACAGAGGACAAGTGGGGAGGTCAAATAGAATAGACCGTTTGCGATAGTTGAAAGAAGTTGTATACTATCTTGCTCATACTCACAGTCTCGTACGCCTCTTTATACAACCCTTCACAGTTTGTATAATATTCCAGGCGAGTTTTAAGGCTAAATCGGCTCTTCATACCATCGCGGACACGAGGAATGCCAGTGTATTTGGCAGCGGAAAACCAGCAGTAGATCGACAGCAGGACGACACCGGCCGTATTAACCAAGCATGCTAACTGCAAGAAACTCAAGTTATGAATGAAGTCCTCTGCGAGCGGCCATTTCGCAAGTATCAGGTCCGGGCTTAACAAAGCCATGATATGCTCACACTCAAATTCTGCCCACTCCTGAATGAACTTGGCAATCCCAAGGTATGTATCCGAACCACTTGAGTGCAGAACCTTAAAGTCCTACCATTTCCTCGCAGTTATAGGAAACGAAATATAGTCTAGGTGGAAATTGATAGAAGGATGGTATGAAAGTAGACGACAAGGTAAAATGAAAAGTGACATGGAAGGAAGAAGATAAAAAAGAATGAGAACCGATCCACGATATTTCGCTGCTAGAGAAGCTGAATGTCCAAATAATCACCAATGAACGACGCACAGGTTAAGTACTGCGCATCCATATGGCTCCATTTCATACCAGGGCCATTGTTTGCAGGCACACTAAGGTGCCATATTCTCTCTGAAACCCTCGGCTTATCGAGAAGCCTGATAACAATTTTCGTTTTTTTTCTTGCCCTGGCGCCAGCTTCCAAGGAAATACGAAGCTCCCACCGGGCAGGATCAAGGAACAATTGGTCGGCCTTTCGCGCGTATTGAACAAGCATGCCCGAAGGATCTGTAGCCCCTGATCGTTGAGGTTGACCATGGAGTTTTAGCCCGAGATCTGAACAATGCAAACCCAAACAAAGCGTGGGATAAGCTGGGTCAAACTCCAGCTCCAAAAACAAGAGTCGGCCTCAGGATCCGGGTCTACGGACTGATACACCTATCTAGGCAAGGCCTGATACTGTGTGGATACGACGGATCGGACCTGAATGATATACGTTTGAGAGGCCGGCATGCGCTGAGAATTTCAGCCCTGCTACGCCCCTCTGGCGCTCACCTTGAACAGCATCCCTCTTGTAAAGTAGGAAAGGATTCAGATGGCCAAGGGACAGGAAAACCAACCAAACAACACTATTCATAGAAGGCTACTAGCGAGATCATATGAGCTGTGCCCACCGGAATTCGGCTCATTTGCCACTTACTGTGCGAATTTAAGATGTATGTAAGTTAGGGCCTGTTCGGTGCGTCCGTACTTTTTGAAGGCAATAGTGGATCTCATTAAAAATAGTGTATTTACCAATTATTAGTAGCAAGCCGGCGTTGTGCCACCACACTATTCCACCTTGCCCACTGCTCTGGGATGGAGAAAGGAAGCTCACAAAAATGCATTCTTTTTGAACTGACTCTGGACTCTGTTCAAGAAGAACGTGTTTTTGTCCAGAGTCAGTTCAAAAAGAATGCATTTTTGTGAGCTTCCTTCTAATCAATATTAGTTAACTATCTTCACTATGAACACTATTCTACACTATTCTACACTATATTGCCTCTAAAAGTGCTATTCTACATCATCATACACTGTTGAAGTTAAATACTGCTTATTCATAAGATCTTGATAAGAGATGTAAGTATAGCTGCTCAATTCACTGAATATCTAATCATTTTCATCTATACTTTGTAAAAAGCAGCTGTATTAATAATACAGTATTATTAGTACAGATACTCTGTTCACTAAACAGTTATAATATTAAGGTCATACTTTTTAAAAAAAAGTGAAGATCTGTATAAAAAGAATGAGTATATACAGCTGCACTGAACAGGCTCTAAGTCATACTTTTTAAATATAATAGTGAATCTCATTAAAAATAGTGTATTTATCAATTATTAGTAGTAAGTCAGTATTGTGTTATTATACTATTTCATCTTACTCACTACTCTGAGATGAAGAAAGAAAGCTTATAAAAATATATTCTTTTTAAACTAACTCTGAATAAAAACATGTTCTTTTTAAATGAAATTCAAAGTTAGTTTAAAAAGAATGTGTTTTTATAAGATTCTTTTTAATTAATATTAATTAACTATTATTACTATAAATACACTGGCTGCTAGAACTATTAATTTTACATTTAGTTTTATTTAATCTAGTTTCATACATTTCTTGATATAAATCTCACTGAGACTAGTCATTAAAAAAACATGTAAAGTAACTATATATCAGATCTTAAAATGAAATCATAACTTGAAAAAAATAAGAAAGTGATCTTATTTAATCTCATTTAGTTTCATTCTTAGCATAAAGTTACTATTTTTAGACATTTTAAGGTTTTTTTTAGACTATTTTTAATTTTTTAAAAAGTAACACTTTTTAATAATACTGAGATTTAAAGTCATTTAAAGTAATAAAAATAATTTAAATTAAGAAGTGAAAATCATGATCTTATTTGAAAAATGTAATAAGAGTAGATAGTAAGTCTTACTAAGACAGTATAAGACTACTATCTAATGTTAAAACTGTGTAATAAGATCAGTTGAATTGATAATAAGACTATTAAAAAATCTGATTCTGATCTCAGATATAATTACATAGTCAGCCTAACTATGAATACTATTTTATACTATATTATCTTTAAAAGTGGTATTCTATATTATTATACATTATTAAAGTTAAATACTACGTATTCATAAAATCTTAATAAGAGATATAAGTATAGCTGTTTAATTTACTGAATATCTGATTATTTTCATCTATACTTTGTAAAAAGCAGCTGTATTATTAGTATAGATACTCTGTTCACTGAACAGTTATAATAGTAAGACTGTACTTTGAAAAAAAAGTAAAGATCTGTATGAAAAGGATGAGTATACATAGACTGATCACCAGGACTATAAATTTCACATTTGATCTCATTTGATCTGGTCTCATACATTTCTTGACATGAATCTCACTGAGACTAGTCATTAAAAAAACATGCAAAGTAACTGTATATCAGATCTTAAAATGAAATCATGACTTGAAAAAAATGAGAAAGTGATTTCATTTGATCTCATTTAGTTTCATTCTTAACATAAAGTTACTATTTTTAGACATTTTAAGGTTTTTTTTAAACTATTTTTAATTTTTTAAAAAGTAACACTTTTTGATAACACTTAAATGAGATTTAAAGTCATTTAAAGCAATAAAAATAATTTAAATTGAGAAGTGAAAATCATGATCTCATTTGAAAAATGTGATAAGAGTAGACAGTAAGTCTCATTGAGACAGTATGAAACTACTATCTAATGTTAAAACTGTGTAATGAAATCAGTTGAATTGATAATGAGACTATCAAAAAATCTGATTCTAGTCTCAGACACGGTCACACGGTCAGTCTAAGTACACACAGTCACACTGAACAGACTCTTAGTATACAAACAGCTCTAGTAAAATGACTAAATAGTGTTATATATAAATCTTGATAAAAATTCATAATGTATTTTATACAGAATATTCAGTTGCTAATAATTCAGCCTTTCTTATATAAATTAACATTATATAAATTAATATTTAGTGATATTTTTAAGTAATATTATCTTGAAGAATAATGTTATTGTATATAAACTGATTAGTTAAGACTATAAATTTCATATTTAATCTTATTTAATCTGATGTTATATATTTCTTAGTATAAGTCTTATCAGAACCTAGTATCAAAGAAATTCAAAAATAAATAAGTTTTTTCGGAAATGATATGAAAAATAATCAGATTTTAATAAAGGTAAAAGATTAATTAATTATATACTAATCTAGTCATGTAGTATTCTATAGATGTGTGAGTTATATAACTTTATATAGAGTATCAGCTAATAACTCTTTCTAGTTATAAAAAACTTAAGTATCTACTAGCTGATGTGAATATTACATACAAGTCTTATCTAGTTATCTCATTAATTCTTCCTCTTCAAAGATTTCTTATATAATGTCAATTAACTTCTAACTTCTAGCTTTAATATCTCTTATTCTTACTTCTTTTCTCTCTGAAATTTCCTCATAATAATATTCTACTTATATAGTTTAAAACATCTTTCTTATCTTATAAGTTTCAGCTCAGACTTTAGCACTGACTCTAGCTCTGACTTTAGCTCTGATTCTTCTAACTCTGATATTGATATAGCTTCTGACTCTGACTCTTAGTTCTAGTATAACTTTAATAAGCAGTCTTAGTTAATTATCAAAGAATTGATTGAATATTTCTATAGAATAGATCTTGAGCTTCTGATTTACTCAGATAGCTTAAAAAATGAGAATTTAAACAGATTAGATACAGGCATTGCTTTTACTGAAGATAATATCAATTTTATCTCAGATTTCTGAAATTTAAGCTGTGAATCTGAAGTTTTTGATTATTATTATTATTATTATTCATTATTCTTTCATTATACTCATATGCAAGTGAAGCTTATGATAAGTTCTTGCATAATGTTAAATACAGATTAAGTGTTGATTATACAGAAGAAAATACAGATATTGAGATCACATCAAGATAACAAGAACATAGAAAAATACAAAGAAGTGACAATTAAATACATGCAATAATAACTTCTCAGCTCAGAAACATAGAGCAATTCATTGAAGCAATTTATACATCTCTGTATTTATTAGAAATCTGAGGTGCTTGAGTTCTGGATTTAATGTATTCCCTGCAGGGTTCAAACTGACATGTCTTGATTTCTCACATCAAGATGCTACTGAGTACCTGCATTAATCATTCAGTCACTGAGGCTGAAGTCTTTGATCCTGAACTATTTACAATAGTGAAAGCTTTCAAACTTATTAAAATAAAATCTTATAAAAGAGAAACTAGTTTGAAAGAGATATAAATATTCTCTGATAGTTAAGCTGCTTGAAAAAGACTTAGAAATAGTCAGATTTATAATAATCAAATAAATCTTAAACTGATTTTAAATTCTGTTATAAAAATTCAAAAGAGAAGAATATTAAAACTGATAATTCATCTACACTGAGATTCTGCATATATGACTATTCATGATATTGAATTAGCTAATTCAGCTCTAAAAAAGAGTTCAGAATTAAGTAGATTTATTCAAAAAATAATGTTCTGATCTTTTATAAAGAGAAAAATAAAAGAATCTTATTTAAATAAGTGAAATAAAAGCTAGCAGAAATAAATGAAGAGTATACATTATTCAAGATTTGAAATAAAACTCAAGTGAAAATCTTATTTAATAAAATATAAAAAGAAAATATTCTCATCTATAATTCAGCTGAAACTAGAATATGATTATTTCATATCTTATATACAAAGATTTAATAATAGATTTAATTCAACAGAATGCTTATTCTACAATACAAATAAAAATTCTGAGTATATTATAATACATTGTATATTATACAATAGTCTCAGAGTCAGATTGAAAAAGAAGTATAATTTAAATTAATTAAATATAAGATTCTTATTTTCAACTGAGACAGAAATTAAATACTTAATAGACTTTCTATCAGAAACTCAAGCAGTTATAAGAAAATAACTGTATTCAGAAATATCTAAATATAAAGAGGTGGAAATTGATTAGATATAGTCTATTAAAACAGCTATATACTATCTTTTAATATTTTTATTTTGTTATAGTCTCTCTTTACTTTACTTTTTCTTTTCTATTCTTTTCTATTAACTTATTTAGTATGTCTATCTTTAAGACTTTGTTCTCTTTTCTTTTGTCATGTATTTCTAAGTGATTTCAAAGTATCAGAAGGTGTTAAAATACTGTAATTTATAAAGAGTTTTTATATTCTGAGCTGAAATTTTCTGATTTTATATATCTGAAATTGATAAATGTATAATAGTTGACTTTATAGATATTAGAAAAACTCTGAGAACTAAAAGTTTTCAGATAGATGTTATAGTCTCTGACTACATACATCTTTAATAGAATAATAATAATAATAATAATAGATCTTGAGCATTTAATAGAATTAATTACTTAATTATAGTTGAGAATGAAGCTGATTTAATTATATATAAAGAAGATTGAGATATATTATATCTTTTTCAAAGAGCTTTTTCATATCTCTTATTAAGAGCTATTAATATCTCACATTTTAAGAGCTTTATTAATCTTTGAATGTGAATTCTAGTCATTTACTAGTTATTCTATCAAGTTCTTATCTTATTCACTGTTGTAGAAGACTTATAAAACTAACT